CACAATGATTACATAATTTTTATTTTTTTGTAAATGTTTGCGTATGTTTTATGTCCTACCGAAAGGGTACATAAAAAATACATAAAGTTGGGTCGGTTTCAACTTTACGTAGGTTTTATGAAAAATCTAGTGGAATTAGGTGTATTTCTGTTGGGTACAAAGATGCAGCACTGCGCTGTTGGTTTGACATATCAGTTACTACGTCTAACGTCGATGACATCTCTTCTGCCAACATAATCTGGTTATTTTTAAATTGGTACATAGTTTTTGGCGCATTATTTCATAGTTTGGTGTTGTTTGGTCCTTCGTGTGTTGTTCTTTGATTATATCCAACACGGTATGGAAAACATATAGACGTCGAATTACTGATTAGTTTGGTGCGATTAAAACCCTAATTGTTTAATAAAGGGGACAAAAGACCTATTAAGGTGATCGAATAATCCTGGTATGAAAAAAACCATTCTTCATCATGCAGCTTCATTTCTAGACACGCTTAAATTCTTAAATTCTCCCCTTTTCTCTCGGTCTCGATTTATAGGTCTGACCCACCAACGTCGTTTTTGTTTTGTAACAACTTTGTCTCTCTGTCTTCTTAACAGTAAAAGCAATAAAACTGTTGAAATTTCCATCCATCTCAGTGACACACACATATACACCACAAATAATATTGCTATGTTCTTGACGTTTTGCCGAGTTTAAATTTTGGATTTTCGCCTACGCAGATAATTATAATCTTACGGTCACTGTGAACACTTTCTCCACCTGCGTAAAATTATGTCTTATGTCAATATTATGTTTTATGTATCTGTTATGTTTTTGTAACGCTTATGTCCATTGTGAACAAGCACTTAGAAAAAAAAAGAAATACGGGAGGGTACAACGTTAACGGATTTAGAAGAACGGTGCTCCAAATTATCTGGGTTGCCAACTGTAGCTACGGGTATGGAAACCATAACTGAACTTGGTATGCTCCCTGTCGAAGATAATATAACTATAGGGACCGTACTGGAACTACAAGATGTTGAAATTGAGCATCAACAGGAGGAAGATCTGGAGCAGGAAATGGAACAAGCTGGTCCTTCAACGATTGTGGAACCAAAAGGCACAACAGTGAAGAAAAACAGACCAAGAAAGACACCTAATGGTAAATATGTTAACATTTATAAATAATTTATGCACCTAACTCTTTTTATGCAACGTTAAATACCTACCTATTTTATAATTTGGATAACAGGAAAACTGAATTTGTTCTTTATTAGTGAATAAATTAATTGTTTATATAAATTCACATACAGGGTGACAATTTGAAAACTTACCACCCCCCATATCTTAGTAAATAAACGAGATATTTAAAAAAATCAAAATCCGTTTCGGTAATTCGGTGGGGGAATCACAATGACATAGTTGGCGACGCACCCCCTCCAACCCCCTGCGCCCCAGCCACCCCAACTTTTAAATCTTAAATAGTGACCCCCCATGTGTGATATGTCGTTGGAAAGCTCTGAAAAAATGCTTTCCAGTCATACCAAATAGCATTACATTTAGGTTAGTAATTATCGTGCAAATCAAAAAATAAACTAATATGATACATTTGAAATCTGTCGTATTTAAAACGCAACCGGCGAACATTAGACGAACTAAGACAGAGAATAATTCAAGAATGTCGAAATATTGCAAAACCAACATTGGAAAGGTTCGACAAGAGTTTGAGAATAGATTATCACTGGCGATCAAAAATGAGTTGCTGTCGAGTCGGCTTTGGAAGTTCAAGTTAAATACGATTTTCCATGTTTATTTTTTGATTTGCACGACAATTACTAACCTAAATGTAATGCTATTTGGTATGGTTGGAAAGCATTTTTTCAGAGCTTTCCAACGACGTATCACACATGGGGGGTCCCTATTTAAGATTTAAAAGTTGGGGTGGCTTGGGCGCAGAGGGTGTGAGGAGGTGCGTCGCCAACTATGTCATTGTGATAGTGATTCCCCCTTCGAATTACCGAAACGGATTTTGATTTTTTTAAATATCTCGTTTATTTACTAAGATATGGGGGGTGGTAAGTTTTCAAATTGTCACCCTGTATATAAAATTCATTTATCATAGTACAGGATTTGAATTATTTGACATTTTATAGAATTGTTGGAAAACCATACACTTGCCACTGTTGATGGACTTCAAAATATATCTCTTGGCTTGCAGTCTCTCGCATCTGCAATAAATAATTTAGCAGAAGCCATTCGTGAAGGGAGCCATGACAATCAAAAGTGATTTTACTTATTATTAAAAAGTATGTTGATAGACTGGAAAAAATAAAGGATATTATATTGTTAATTTCTTTACATCTATCGCAATATTCTAGATTTTTTGTGTATTGTAGAGCAGAAGCTAAAAAGGCAATCAAAAACGACTGGCCGTCAATATGAATTATACCTTAAGAGCGCGCTGCCGGAGTGGTGGGGATCAGCGTAGAAAACACACTTAAAACATGCCTTTAGATTTTTGTACAATTTTTAAAAACCGTTTGTGGTATCAGCCCAATTTTTTATATTAATTAGCAAGGACCAGCGCAGGAGGTAACGAATTTTCATCGATCTACATTGGCTATAAATAGGTTAATTACATTTTTGAAAATGGGCAATTTTAATTTTTTATGAAATCAAATATCCATGAATTTTCGTCATTGCCTTCTTGGGGTCATTACAAAGATAACACATAAGTTTCAAGTGATTTTATGGTCAATTAAAGGAAATTTGTACGAAAATTCTTCATTATAAAGTGACCCTAGTGGTGTTTCCCACAATATTTAGATCGAAAGCGAAACGCAAGTGCAGTGGTTCGCCTGTAGATGGCGGAGAAACATGGCGGGTTCTCATTTGAATTTAAATACATGACCACTGTAGTGAATATACCGCTCTCGTTCGTTCATAAGGCAAAAAGAACCCGCGAGCGCGACGCTGTAGGTCAGGGTAAATGTAAAGATTTCGGGATCGTTTCCGTTTTTTCAGAACCGTTAATTCAGTAGCAGGAAGGGACGAACGGAGCAGTTTCTTACAGGGGGGAATGTTAAAAATTTTCCAACTTTCGAAATTCAAATGCTAAAGAAACGCTACAACACGCAAAATCCAAGACTGAGACTGGGTCAAAATGGCATGGCTTTACTACCTATGATCACAGATTTATTACTATGATGTAGGAAGTCGGCATTGCTGCTTAATCCTTCATTCATTTCTCAACGAGATAGGTATGCATTCTATGCGAAGTCTAATAATTCGCAATGAGAGCAATTAAATATGATATGACATCCCACCCAGCTAGCACGATGACGTCAATATCACGCCATTTTGTGGTCATATAGAACGTCATTAATGACATATAAAAGACGTGACTTGGACGTAGGTATGACGTGATTATGTCACATCCCAATGACGTGATGTATTACGTCAATATTGACGTGATATATTACGTCAATATTGACGTGATATATTACGTCAATATTGACGTGATATTACGTCAATATTGACGTGATATTACGTCAATATTCACGTGATATATTACGTCAATATTGACCTGATATATTACGTCAATATTGACGTGATGTATACGTTACTATTGACGTGTGTGTATATATGTATATAGGTAATAAATAAAAATGCACATAACGTAACTATATATATTGAATACCACAAAAGACTTATATTAAATACAAAAAATATTATATTGCTTACTGTAGAAGACCATTGTCTCTTAATCTATATATTAAGTGTATGTAAAAGAGGAAAAGAAAAATATCCCTGTATGTGTGGAAAAAGAATACATTTCCCACTAACACTTGATAGTGGCCAAGTTTGTAACACTGATAGATCATTCACAACAAAAATGTTTAGCTTTGCCGAACTAAAAGGATATTCATACAGGGATGAGTATCTACAAAATATTTTACAAACAATCAAAATACTACCTTCTAATTGTGACACAAAATTATGAATTTGAATAACCTTGTCTTTAATCATACAATAACAATCAGATTTAGAAAATGAATAAATAGACAATATGAAATTTTTGAAATGAACCTTTTTAAATTGCTTACAATATGCTAATGAAATCGTTGGTCCTTGACAATGTTCAATTTGGGGTTTACCACAAATATCAATACCTGACTGCTGCTTTTCATCAATAAGAAAGCTAATTTCTTGTAGTCGTTTACATATTTGTTTTAATGGTTCTTTTGGAGATTTAATTAGCCGTTTTAACTGTCCTAAAAAGTTTTCAAGTGGGAATGCCGAAAAACAGTCAAGTGGCCCATACATGGCAACATCTGCTGGTAAATGAATTAAATTATGTACATTAAAAATTTGAAATTCAGCACCATACAAATGCTCGCTGTGTTGTACAAAGGTTTTCAAAAGTTGAAAAGCAGAGTCGCACCCAAATTGAACTATATGTTTTCTTGAACATAAGATTACTATCGCCGCGTGCAGTAATAAAAAATGCTCATATATAGCAATATCGACAACTTGAGGGAGAACAATAGGTCCTATATACAAAAGAAAACTACGAAATTCCGTTGCCTTAAAACGAGCTAACTCGCTTAAGGGGCGAGGTTTTCTGTTTATTTCTTGTGGAATATAATGTTTTAATGCAACCATTTTCCCAGATATAATTTGAACTGACTGGGATGATAATCTAACTTTGTAAATGCCACTCATCAATTTAGAAGTTTACGAGTGACTCCAAGGCAAACATTGTGCATATAATCTATTGGAAAGGATGTCACCAGTCCAATATTTAATTGTAATAGAGGAGAGTCACCCAAGTGATGTTCCTCATCTAGTTTTAATCTAAAACTCTCATCTGTTCTTAAGGTAGAATTAATATTATTTAATATTACCCTTCCGTTGAGATATGTTCCCGACACAGTACATTTTTCGCAAGAGGAATAGCCCCCATGTGATTTAATACATTTGAGATATCGCACATCTAGTTCAATAGTGCCATAAGTGCAAAAAATTCAAATTTTCACTTAAGTCCATATTGCTGTTCTTCTATGTCTAACGCATGCACTGCAATATAGCCATATGTAACATTTTAATATTATTCAATGCAGTGTAAGATATTTCCCTATTGCAGGTTCATAGTATTGTGGTGCAATAGAGCCGTAACTGTCAGTTGTGGCCATATGATTCTTGAATACTTGCGCATCATGGTGCGCTACCGCCGCAAACAACAGTTATGGCTCTATAGCATCAAAAACTATTTTGCCGCTATAATTATGACGCAGTTGCTTTCCTACCAACAACAGTGAAGTGTGTGTTTGTTTCCGCTGGCAACAGATTAATTTGGTGTTAAGTGAACAAATATTGTATCTTGAGCGAGTATTGCACATTCGTTTGTTATTATGTCTCGTGCAAAAAAGTTAGTAAAGTTGGCTTTAGATAAAGATAACATTGAAAACGAGGATCCGAAAGAGAGTGAGGTTCGAGTAAACAAACGCTTGGTTTTATAATCTCTAGATGTATTTGTATTTTAGAACACCTCTAAACCAAAGAAAACGTATGCTGAACTTCAAAATTGCCAGTTGGTACCTAACGTAATATTACAAGAAGTAAGTCTAAATGAATCTGTCATGATTCACGACAAATAATATTGTCATTTATTTGAATTTTTATTATTTTAGTATTCTACGAATCAACCCTTTTTATTGGACTTAGAGGTAGATTTTTCGAAATACAATGATCCCATTTTTGGATTAGAGGCACATAACGTAAGTTGATTTAACTTTAAATAACAATTATGTACTTATTTTTATATTAGAACTCAACAACGCTAGATTTACCAGGATGCTCAGGGAATACTGCAGTGTCAGAGATTAGTAATGGACATGTTGTGACTCCCTTGGACGACCAGCAAGCGGAGGAGGTGACCAGTTAATATCAGAATCTTCCCATATTACACTCATTTGCGTTCTAGATTAATAATGATGCAGCCATTTTTGACTCAGATGATTCCATTAATGATAAAGATTACACACCTTCAGGTGATGATTC